TCTCCCCCTAAATGTCTTGTGAAAATCGGGGTTGAGTGGTAATTTTATGATATAAGTGTTTTTGATTGTATGTGATGCATTGCACGGGTTTGTTAGAGTCTATTGAGTGTAGTCAGATGGTTGGTATGAGTTATTAGCATGTGTGGTTGAGTTGGGACATTCTGTTTGTGCAATTTTGTGAAAAAAGTGATCAAAATAGGTTTTGGTGTTTAACTTTTTATGAAAAATGAGTTTAAGTATGAAACTAGTCTCATTAGCTAGAGCTAAGAGAAAGTTTCGTGTAGATACCAAAACCACCTCAATTGGACGTTGGACGGAGATTTGGGACATATCAAAAGTTCGCTCCTTTTGTTGTCAAATGATAGCACTGATGCTATTATATTCATGCAACTCGCCACAGCACATGGTACACAGAAGACAAGTCATGGCACTCGTGTCACTTTCTACCCAAAATTTATTTTTGAGTTTTAAAACTCATTATTTTAGATTTCAATTAATTTTTCAGCTTCCGTTTTATTTTCAAAACTCTGATATAGACTTATTAACTAATGTTTGATATTTGAATTGTTGAAATTAGAATTTCTTTGAAAAAATTTGAGAAATTCCCTATAAATTTTACAATTTGATAATCTTTTAAAGGTTAATTCCTTAATTGTCATGATTTAGAGTTAAATAATAGATTAGTAAGGGAGATCTTACTGTTTGATCTCTTGATTATTATAGTATTAATAGGTGATTTTACATTTTGAGTAATCAAAACGTGAGAACGTTAGGAAGGAGTATAGTGCTCGAAGAATGGGAGTAATAATTAGATGGAAAAGTGGGTGTTTCAGTCAAATGACACGTTGGGAGAGAGAAAGGGAAGTCTCACTGCTTGGCAGGAGCCACTAGGCAAAATAACAAAACCGTTAAAGCACGTTAACGTCAGGATAACAAGGCAAGTGATTTCTCACATTCAAGGATAAAAACAATCTAAATTCAAATTCAAGGTACTCGTAAACCCTACAGAAGAAGTTTGAGGGCAAAAAATAACTCTAAACCTAATTTTTAAACACATTCCTTTGAATGTCCATATATAAAAAGTAAATATGTGAAAAACTAAATTAAAAAACTATTTATTCCTAAAAACTTTGAATGTTAATCAGTTGATTTGGTCATTCCAATATTTTTGCTTCATTCAATTGCCAAAACTATGCCGAATATTGAGCAAGAAAATATAAATCTATTATTTTAGTGGATGAAAGATTTATTAAAAAAATCAAGGTAAAAAAAGTGAAGTAAAAGATTTACTATTATCAATTTCTAGCGTTCTCGAAAGTCTATTGATCCATGGATCTTGTTTATATCTCATTATCGATTTTTTTTTTCACCTTATATTATATGATTAATCAGTTGATTTGGTCTTTCCAATATTTTCGCTTCATTTAATTACCAAAACTATGCCGAATATTGAGGCCAGAAAATATAAATATATTATTTTGGTGGATAGAAAATTTACTAAAAAAATCCTCCTTGGTGAAAAAAAAAGGAAGATAAAATATTTATTATTAACAATTTCTAGTTTTTAAACAGTCTCTTGTTCCATGGATCTCGTTCTTTTTATTTCATTCATCGGTTTATTTTTCACCCTATATGATTAATAAGTTGATCTAGTCATTCCAATAGTTTCGCATCATTCAATTACCAAAAATATACCGAATATTGAGGTAATAAAATATAAATCTATTATTTTAGTGGATGAAAGATTTATTAGAAAAATTCTTCTAGGTAAAAAAAAAAAAACAAGTCAAATAAAATACTTATTGTTATCAATTTCTAATGCTCTAGACAGTCTCTTGATCCATGGACCTCGCTCTTTTATCTCATTCATAGGTTTAGTTTTCACCTTATATAATTAGTTGATTTGGTCATTCCAAAATTTTTGCTTCTTTCGTTTACCAAAACTTTTTCCGAATATTGAGAAAAGAAAATATAGATCTATTATTATAGTGGATGACAGATTTGTTAAAAAAATTCTTCTAGATATGAAAAGTAAAAATAAAAAGATTTACTATTATCAATTTCTAGCTTTTTAGACAGTTTCTTGATCCATGAATCTCGCTCTTTTATCTCATTTTTCGGTTTATTTTCCACACTGTACGATTAATAAGTTGATTTTTACATTCCAAAATTTGTTCCTTCATTCAGTTACCAAAACTGTCCTTCTCATACTTTTACTAATTATTGAAATATTGAAGGATTGAAAAATTTATAACTAACTACCAGATTTTAATTATTAAAAGTGAAAAAGAAAAAAATACTTTTTTTTCTGGAGGGAAAAGGAATTAGGTTTCTACAGAATTTTTCCTATTGTTTTCATTTGGAATTTCATGCTTAAAATTCTAAAGAATTAAGACAAATTAGATAAGGGAGAATGATAAATAGATCTCAAGAAAACTAATTAACTCAAATTAAGTTTCAAATGCTAAACTTTATAAATTTATAAATTTGACTCTCAATTTTGTAATTCTATTGTGATAAATTTGCAACTTGTGTTTAAATTTTAATAAGGAAAACAAATTAGTTTATTCTTCAACTATGTTAAAATTTGAAAAACAAGTTATAAATTCATCACAATAAAATTATAAAATTAAGAACTAAATGTATAATTCCTTAAATTTAATACTTGAGACTTAATTTAAATTAATTGATCTCTTGGAACCTATCTATTATTCTCCCCAAAGATAATATAGAGAAAAAAACAGTGGCAAACAAACTGCTCAAATATTTGGATGCTTCATCTCTTAATTTCATTTACCAACATTTTTTATGTAAGAAAAACATTATTCAAAAACCTCAATATTGTTAAAAAAAATAAACACGCCAAGAGATATTCAAGAAATTCCATGCAGATAAAAATAATTGCTATGAGCCAAAAATGGAAGCTTCTGGACACAACAAGATGACGTGGAAAGGATAAGGTTCAATTAATCCATGATTTGTTGCCATCCATTAAGATTGACATAACATGAAACTAATTGAACAATTTTTTTCACTGAATAAATAAATAAAAATAAATAAACAATGCTACTCTAGGATGTTGTGGGCCCATCACAAGAATATGTTAAGGAAGAAGGCAACTGTGAATCTTAAATCCAATGGTGGGAAACATGAGATTGAGCTCAGGGAAATGACAAACAATGACACACCAAAGTAATTAATCTCAGTTGAGGACCATCCTTTTGAAAAATTCACTTATGGCTTGAGAAACAATCCATATTGTTATTAACAAGAGAAAATGATAGAAAAAATACTCTAAAAATATACAAATGATAATTAGATATGACAAAAATATTTTGGTTATTTTCAAATTCCTAGGACTTTCCTAACTTTTTGTGAAATAACATAGTTGCCCCTATTTTAAAGTTTAAAATAAAGCAGTAATTAAAAGTTAATTACTGTTTTGTTTTATGAAATGACTGGTTTTTGTTTTTGTAATAATAAATTACTTCCTCTATTTCTATTTACAAGAGAAAAAAATTGTATCACACAATTTAAGAAAGTCAGTTAATTATAATAATTATGTTTGAAAATAAAAAAAGTGAATCAAAATGTTTTATGTTAATTAACATGAGTATACATTAATTTTTTCTTATTAATATAAATTATGAGGGGTTATTCAAAAATATACAATAAATACTTATTGAAATGGATGATTTTGCTTATAAAAAAATACAAGTCAAAAGTAGTAATTTTTCTAATAATAAAAAACAAAGGGAGTACAAGTTATTTTATGTAAATATTATTGTCAATAAAGTCTAACAATTAAAAAATCAATTACTACTTTCTCTCGACAAATGACTAGAACAAAATAGTAAATTACAAGTTGTTTAGTGCAACATTTTTTATTAGTAAAATCCAACAACTAAAAATCAATTACTACTTTCTTTGGGAAATGACAAGTTTTCCTAGAGAAATGATTAGAATAAAATAATAAATTATACTCTTTTCTTTAAAAAATATAAGGTATTTTTTAGTTAAATATTTAAAAATATAAGATATTTTCAGTCTTTTGAGGTATAATTATTTTTTTAAAAAGTACCCCTATTGATAAATGATTTTATATTTATTGTAGAGTGTTTAATAGAGGTAAATATGAAAAGATGGAGTTAGTTTAAAAATACATAACTACTTTATTTGAGATAAAATTTGGTTGAAAAAACTTTACCTTTTTTAACAAAGGAAGTAATTTTTTTATTAGCGAAGTTGAATAACTAAAAATCAATTACTACTTTCCTTTGGCAAATGACTAACATGGAATATTAAATTAGAAATTTCTTTGTGCAAAATTTTTTAATCAATGAAATCTAAACATTAAAAATTAATTATTACTTTCTTTTGAAAAAGAACTGTTTTTCTTGGGAAAAAAATCAGAAAGAAATATCAATTATAAGTTGTTTTGTGCAAAAATTTTACAAAAAGGTTAAAAAGCCTTTTCACATTAAAATTAATTGACAAACAAATCCCAGTTGCAAGAAAATAATTATCACATTTTATATTACTCAATTGTTATTTACATGTTTTAAAGGTATTTTTCTGTCATTGTCCCTACTAATAAAATAATTCATAAATAGTCCTACTTGTTAAATTTTTAATATTATATACAGAAATAGAGACAAAAAAAAGGACTTATCTATAAATTTTTGAATTATGAGAACTGAATTAAAAATTAGTCAAAACTAATTAGCTAAATTTATGATTTATTTTTATCTTCAAAAATGAAAAATCAACTTTAAATAAAGCCAATATTTTTGTTATGGTCCCCGCCCTTTGTTTCTGAAAAATCCAACAGAGGACATATATTTCACAAGGGCCCATGTCTTTATTTATTTTCTGTTCCTTCTTAGGCCAATCATATTCATATCCAAACACACGAGAAAATCCGCGTTTGTGCCACTCGAGATATATGCACATTTTGCCGCCTTGTAATTTCTTCTTCTTCTTCACCACATTGGTGTTTCCGAATTATGCATGAATTAATGTCAATAAATATTATTTATTTGTTTATTCTTCAAAGGAGGGCAATTTTGTAAGTGAGGCCAGTTCCAGGCAGTTATGGTGTTCGAAAATCAAGCAAAATATTTTGCCTCAAATGTGTGATTATGAAACAGATGTTTCAAAATCAAAATTTAAAAGGGCAAGAAATATAGAGATTCTATGTGAGTGAGAAAGAGAGGAATATCAATATCAGGGCAGAGTCATTCATGCATAGAGAGTGTGTCGAGGGTCACTAAACTCCTTCACTGTGAAACAAAGAGGGAGAAAATATAAATTTTTGTTAATTGGGTCTTTTTTGTATAATCATCATTCTCAAATCTTTCACTGTTTTATAGGTACGTTCGTTCTTGCCAATTCATGCTTCATCAGTTCCTCGTTCGCTAATTTTGTTGTTCTTAGAAATTTCTTTGTTCTCGCTGCCTCTCCTTTAGAAAGTTCATGTCTCTTTCCCCAGAAAATACCCGTCTGTTCAATGCTTGTGATTTGGTTGCAGAGAACATTTTTCTTTTTGTTTTAACTTGATTTTTGTGGTATGTGATTTCACTTTTCTCATAATTTTCTTCTTTCCCGTTTCTGAATTACATATGTGCTCTCATTCCTCTGCGCATTTAAGATTCTTTTTGGGAATTGAGGGAGAAAGGGAGAGAGCGAGAGAGAGAGAGAGAGAATTGAGGAAGTTTGCTGCACTTTTTTCCTATAATAACTACTAACTAGATTCATGCCACAAGTCCATAGGGGTGCTTTTGCTGGTGTCCTTTTTACCAATATTTCATTGTGATTGGTTGATCTTTTCATTTTTCTAGAAATCTTCAGTTTTTTGCTTGTTTTCTTTCTGGGCATCCTGATTCTGTTCATCTTCTTGTGGCAGGATTATTTGCAGTGATTAGATACATAATGGATATTTCAGAATACACAAGAATTGTTTTGGATAAGATTCAGAAATTTGACCCAGAAAATGCCACAAAGATCATTGGCTATCTCCTTTTGCATGACCTTGGAGAGCAGGAATTGGCTAAATTGGCTTCCTGCCCTGACCATATGATACGTGAAATTGCATTTAAGGCCAAAACCGAGCTACAAAATCTGGCTGCTAAATCTGCCATACTTTCAAGCTCACCTCCTATGAACCCTCAACAAGTTATCAGCCATTTACCCATAATCTCCCCGAGGGCAACTGCTCCACCAAGCTTTCAGGTTCCTCCCAACTTTTGGGAGCCACAGTCAGCTAACAGTATTAACCCAGAGTTTATGTCAATGGGTTACATGGATTCCATCCCAGAACTTCAGAAGCAGACCCAGCTTTTGTGTGCAGAGACTCGGATGGATCCTGCTAGTTCTGGTTCTGCAGGGATTGCCAATGATTACTTTAGTTTAGATGCTTCAAATGTGAATTTGAATGGAAAATCCGGAAGAAGGTTTGGCCTGTCCGAATTTCCAGTGAAGACATGTCACTATTTCAACAAAGGATACTGTAAGCATGGAAGTAGTTGTAGATACTATCATGGACAAGTTGCACCTGAGAGCTTCTCTCATATGAATGGGAACGGTGATGATCAGGGAGGATTGCCTGGCTCGCTTGCACAGTTGGAGGCAGAACTTGTCGACCTTCTCAGGCCACGGAGAGGAAATCCTATTTCCATTGCTTCCCTTCCAATGGCATATTATGAGAAATACAAAAAGGTGCTTCAGGCAGATGGTTATCTAACTGAGAGCCAGAGACATGGTAAATCAGGATATAGTTTGACAAAGCTTCTTGCACGATTGAAAAATAGTATACGACTAATAGACAGGTGAATTCTTCTCTATCTTGACATGATTGTCATTCAATAAGTCTATGACTAATTTGTTTCTCTAATTTGACTTGTTTCTTATGTTGATTTACAGGCCTCATGGGCAGCATGCAGTGGTTCTGGTTGAAGATAGGTACTTGGAAAAAGGAGATCCCAGTCAAAATATAAGCGCATCAAGACAAATATATTTAACATTTCCAGCAGATAGCACTTTCACAGAACAGGATGTCTCAGACTACTTCAAGTAATTCAAGATTAAAATTTGTTGTATTTTTGCATTTTGAGGCTTCCATCACAGGTAAGGGATTTGTGTAAGCAAACTGATTTCACTTTCCTGTATTTTTAGTTCCTTTGGGCAGGTTGAAGATGTAAGGATTCCATCCCAACAAAGAAGGATGTTTGGTTTTGTAACATTTGTTGATCCAGAAACTGTTAAAATGATACTGGAAAAAGGAAATCCTCACTTTGTACGCGGCTCCCGTGTGCTTGTGAAACCTTACCGTGAGAAGTCAAAGCTTATAGACAGGTAAAATCCTTGTGTTTTATTTCTTGGACGGCAAGTTGTTGATTTTTATGTTTTCAAATCCCTATGTAATCCTGAAAGATTGTTTTAACTTCTGTTGTCCATCAAAGTTAATTTCTCCAGATTAGACTTGAAATGATTAGTACTGGTAACGAAAACTGTGAAAATCAATGAATCTAGCAATGTGTCACCAATATTTGCAAGATTTTCGAGGTCATTGATTCTTTGCTCCTTTGTTCTTCCTTACTGAATCAGCCATTCTGGAATTCATGAGACCTGGAAAGATTCTCCTGTCATGGTGCAAATGCAGTGATTATTCATTCTTTTCATGAGTCTTTCAATTTTGGTGCAGGAAATATTCAGAGAGGGTTGAGCCTCCTGTTGTTTGTTCGCCACATTATGTAGACATGGACTTTGAACTTTCCCCAAGTGAGTTTGGTATTTTCCTGAATGGAAACTTGGAGACTATTTTCTTCTGGTTAACAACATAATCATCAACCATTTTTGTAGTGCCAAGTTATGGGAACCCCAGATTTCTGAGGAGGCAGCTCATAGATGAGCATGAGAAGGTCCTTGAATTTCAGAGGAGACATCTTGCACAGCTGCAGCTGACCCAAAAACCTCTGTCAAGTTCGCCTTATTTCAGATGCTCATTAGGCCAGTTAAATGTTTCAGAAGGTGTGAGAAATGCTGGATCACATATTTCCACGGCTCATTCTTTTGCTCTTTTTTTTTTAATGCCTTTCTATTTTTTGTTCTTACTGAAATCATTTGTCATGCAGATCCTTTCAATTTTCAAGCGGCAGAATCTCTCGATTATGCTCTCAATGACAAGTCTGGGCATACAGACACCAGTTGTGCCGACAGAGACAGGTACATTCATACAGGTTTCTCTTGTCCTTCAAGATGCCTATGCTGAAATAGATTAGAAGTCTCTCGGTTGTCACATAACATTCCACCTTACGTTCGATTCCTTTTCATCCATTCAAACCTCTGAAATAATTGATCCTTCTTGACACCCTTATCAATTAAACAGATTTCATGTCTAAAACCATGTGTTTTCTTCAGTGATTGCTGCAAAAGCCTGTAATTATTCTTCTTGTCCTGTCCATAGAAGCATACCTGCAACTTTGTTCAATTCTCTTCATACCTCTAGAAAATTTGATATTCGTTTTGAAACACATATTCTTACCACTTCAATTTTTCTTACATTTCAAATGCTGTTGCGGATCCTCTCATTTTTCTTTGTTTTACTCAGAAGCCAAGGAATCGATCTTCCGGAGAGCCCATTTTCATTTCCAGTAGATAGTGGAATTTCGACAGTCATATAGATTCGGAAGGAAAAATACTTTGGTACAGTTCTCATTTGTTTGCTATCAAATTTTTCAGTAGAAGTATGATAAGTGGTGTGGCACTAAGCCATAAAGAATCCACTTGTTGTATTTTTGTTAGAAAACTTGAAACCAAACATCTTATGAACTTTACCTAAATTTTGTCCCCCAGGAGAGAAATATAGACTTAAATTTGCACCAGGCAAAAAGCAACATCTTTAGTTTTTTTTCTGAAGCACAGGCCCTTTCATCAATTTCCATTCTCGTAGCTCGTCGAGTCTCTGTTCAGCTCCAACAAGTACATACTAGCCAAAGAAGAAGAAACAATGGAAGAATTTCCTCTTTAGTTCCTGACAATGGGTGTCTTAACAAATAGAAATGTGATATATGTAAGAATGTTATAGTTTTGGGTAATATTTCGCAAGTTCTGCTTCTCAGAAAGTTGAATACAAGACACTCCAAGATTCTAACTTTAGAGTGAGAATCTGAATTTCACCTTTGTAAAACTCAATCTTTTGAAAAGTAGTGTTCTTATAGAGTTACCCTGATGTTTTTTAGTTACAAAAAGAAGGCAAAGGGTTTGGTTTTTAGCTAGGAAGATCCTTATGAAGTCATTTAGTGTATGAAAGAAATTATGTGTATGCATAGTTTTCTTGTTGAACTACTTTGGAATTTGTGGATCTGGACAGAGATGAACCATTTGAAGTACTTACTGATAAAAGTTTTAATAATAATAGATTACATTACTTCTATCTGAAGTTCTTGTTACTGATGGACTTTTGTTGATATTTCTCCTTATTTGATTCATTATTTTGTCCCTACAAAATTCTGGGCTAGTCTATTTTATATTTACACATTTTAAATAGACTTCTGTTGATGTCATCTGTTTTAGTATTGAATCAAGCCTATGGGGTTGAAAAACTTTCCAAATCTCATTATTGCTTATAGTTAATAACCTAATGCCAAACTATATTGATTTTTTCCTCATATAGTTACCTGATATATGATGCTATTGAATTAGATTTAAGTACTGTCTAGTCTGATTGAGAATAGTTTTTTCTTCTTCTCAATTTTCATGTTATTGCACAAAAATTCATATACGCAAACATGTATTGTATCTAGGAAGAGAGAGATCAAACAACTATTTATATAAGAACCTATTGATTTTACAATTGACATTGATAATGATGATATACATGAACATGCGGTTTAATTTTCTTGTCTTCTCCTATTCTAATATTATTTTATCTTTTAAAGCTTATTTCTTCTCAATTTTCATGTTATTGAACAAAACTTTAAAACCCCAAAAAAGATTGTAACTAGGAAAAGAGAGATCAAAGAATAAGCTTATCTAGAATACATGGACAATATTTAATTGTATGAAGATGAAAATGACATATGTGGAACCCTAAATGTGTTTTGATTGTTTCAATCCCAAATAGGTGCAACGGATATTGAATTGGGCGGGCCATAATTGAAAAGGACATTAATTAAATGCTTTCATTGTTAGAAAGTGACACTCATTTAATATTGTCATTATATATAATCATACACCAACGTATAGAAAGAGGGAGAAAACTGTGAAAAAGTGTTTTTTTTTTTTTTATTTCCTAATGTTATACATTTGATGCTACTTTCACAGTTTTATTTTATTCGGTTTTAGTCAATTAGTTTTTATCTTAACAAGGATTACACCTGCCTCATTGTACGGGATTTGAGAATTTAAGAAAAATGAATAAAACATTAAAGTCACTAAATTTGTTACAAATTAATATTGTTTTTTTTAATCCCCCATTTAATTATTTTCTTAAAGAAATCAACTTTTTAATTAAAAAAGGAAAAAATACAGCAAAATAACATTAACCCCAAATGGAGGTTTAAGTGCTTGGGAATGGGGAAAAGAAAAATAAGAAATAAAGTTGTTCCAAGAGAGGAAAAAAGATAACAAATCAACTAAGTTTTTATTTACCAGTTGTGTAGGTCTCAGTCCAAGGCCACCTTCTTTAACAAGACTAAATAATTTATTCCTGTGAGCTAGATGCATGTGGCTTTTGTTATTTGACACCCCCCAAAAGAAGTGTAGATGCATGTGGCTTTTTTTTGACTGAAGAAATGCATTCATAGTCAAAACGTGATTACATCAACAATATATAATCTGCTAGATGATGAGAGTGATTCGACAGATCATATATCATTAATGTAATGTCATTTTAACTATGAATGCATTTCTTCAATCAGAAAACCAAAAAAAGAAAGAGCACCGATATAGTGTGAGCTAACCTTGAGGCCTGGGACAAAACTAAATTTTCATGAAGCAAGTCTTTTGTCAAGAGGCAATACACACTGAAGAATCAAGGCCACTTAGAGTGAAAGTTCATATTTTCTAGCATAGCAATAGTGAAATTCCAAGAAAGCTTAACAAATGCCTTTGAAAAATCTATTTTAAAAGTCGCAAGTTTTTCGTTTCCTAGCCTTGGTCCATTTAATGATTAAGATGCTATTTAATAAATCATCCTTAATTAAGTTGAACAATTTCTGTCTCTTATTACAACAAAAGATTAATAGTCCTGCCAGTCTTTATTATAAGTCACCTATAATTAACTTACAAAAACTAAGAAAAATTTGTTACATCATTACAATTGTCTAAAAAATTGCTTTGATTTTCATTTTCACCTCTAATATATACCATAAATTTTTTTAAAAATATTTTTAATCTCCTCATTAGAAATTGAGACGAAGGGCATATCTGGAATAAAGCAATTAATGCTATACAAACTTTTGCAAAGTGACTTATATATTGTAGACTAATGAAATCTTCTAAGATCCTCAATGTGTGTAAATCAACGATTGTAGGTTTCTAAAATCCTCTATCATAATTTTCTTGACATGCCTATGTTGGAATATTATTTATAAATTAGCATTAATTAATAAACTCAATAGATTTGTCTTTATGATCTTGTGTAAATCATGATAGGTGGACCACACAAGTGAGCCCAATGGATAGAGGCCCAATCCACAATCCAGTAACCGTCAGTTATTTCCTATCTCTTAACTGAATGAGTTAGAAATAATAGATAATATAATTATTAATTATTTAATAAGGCGGTTACGTATTTGATCTATATAAGTCAATCAGTCGATAACCGCATACACACGACTTATTTCTTCTACTCTATTATCTCTAAACTCTCTGAAGGCTCTGGGGACCTGTGGGTTGTGCACTTGTCTACACTCGAGGTAATCGAGATTTCTCAAGCAATCATGGATTCTTCAGGTACGCATACATTATTTTATTCTGTCATATTCAATTATATGAATTGAGATATTCAAAGATAACACGTGGCATCAGAGCTTTGGTTACAAACATTAATTTATATATCTCAATTCATTATTCTATATGTGTGTTGATGAAAGTAAACGTGAGATCATTAGAATTCGATTAAATATAGGTATATTTGACTTTATTTTTTTTTATTTTGCACGAACCCTCTTCCTCCTCCTTCTTCACGCGTCAACGGACGAAGTTACGTCTCCACATTCATCGGCGTCTTCTCCTTAGAACTGGCAAAGAAGCTGCATGACGCAAGGCTGGTAGAGAGAGACGCGGTTCAGCAAAGTCCTCATCATGCAGGTCGTGGCTGGCAACAGCATCGTCTCTTGTCCAAGCATCATCTCGTGCAGGTCAACGCGGTTTCACATAGCCGGAAAGCTGCAAATTCATTGGATCAGGCTCACGTTCTCCTCACCGTGGAAGTGCCGGTGTCATGGTAGCTGGCTGCTTCTGGTTCGTCGGCATCATCTCCCTAGTTCCCGACGACGGAATCTCTCTATCTCGTCTTCTGGTCTAGCAACCGCTGCACACCGGCCTTCCCCTTCTTTCTCGTTTTCTAGCTACGACTAGAGAGGACCCAAAAACAGGTCGTGGTATCGGATCTTAGGGATCTAGTTCTATGGGTTTTGGGCCCATTTTGTATGGGCCCATAGCCTGATAAAAAAAATTAAACAAAAAAAATTATTATTTCTGCTAATTATGTTTTTAGCCCAGTTTAAATTACATCTATTGCCTATAATTTTTGGTATTTATGAATTAACCCTAGGATATTTATGGAAATTATATGTTAGTCCCTTAACTTTTAGAATTGTAGTTTTGACCCAAATCTCTTCCAAAATTACCTATTTACATCTAGATACCTTTCAAAATTTCACTTAAGTCCTAAATTTGTTTCTTAATTCTTAAAAGACCCCAAGAACTTTGAAATTATTTTATTTTGTCCTAAGGTCATAAAATTTGTGACTTTGTGAATTATTGATGATGCTTAGGATCTTGTAGCATTAATAATGGACATAACCCCTAGGTGTGACATTATTAATGTGATTTTTTATGGTTGGTTTTTGAGAATAGGCTAATAGCACTCTTTTAATGTGTTAGATGTTTATTGTATCCTATAGGTATGTAAATATTTAATGCATTATTTTGTATAGACTTTTGTATGAGCTAGATTTTTATGGTATATGAGCCTTCTTAGTGCATGATTATAGTTGCATAATTGATAATCACTTGTTGGAAAATTCTGTTTTATAATTATGTTGTGTACTGTTGCTCACCGCAAGTGCACGGGTCGTAGCAAGTAATATAAAATGAGTAGAGTATCGTTCCCTCGAGGATTTGTTTAGAAAACTATAATCAAGCAAAAGACTAAGCAAATTCGATCAAGTTGAGCTACACAAAGTTAGGTGAAAATGATTTTGCTTATGAAGCTAATACTAGAAAATAAAGAAAAGTGAGTGATTCACAAACTTCCAACACAATTTAGGACCTAGGATTATTTATCCCCCTTGCATTTCATAACACCAAAATTACCTCCTCTCATAAATGCTTTTAATGAAAATAAGTGCTAACCTAGGGTTTTAAAAATACTTGGACAAGCTCTCTCAAGTCATGAACAAGTGTTTAGTTAAATTGATTGCACAATCTCTTGTTACAATTAATAAAACTCAATTTTAAACACCAACCCTAATGTGGCTATGTAAGGCTAACAAGTATATCTCTATCTTACTAGCAAAACCATCCATTTAACATGCAAAAATTAAGTTCTTACACAATTTTACCTAAGTTCTACACTCAACCTAGCCCTCTCAAGCATCAATTAAGTGAACCCAACATCTAAATGGTGGCCAATCAAGTAGAAGCATTAAGGAAAGAGTAAAATAGACACATATATATATCATTAATCACAAAAAGAGAGGAGAAATATAGTGTTAATCCATACAAGAGTTCCAAATAATCCTAGAACAAAGGGTTTAGCTACTCATAATCATCCATAAGCTACAAATATACAAAATAAGTGGACCCATTTCAGATTACAAGAGAGGAAAGGGAAGAGGAATAGAAAAACCAAAGAAAATGAGCTCCAAATGTCTTCAAACCTTCAATCTCTTGATCCCAACTCTTCCAATGCCCAAACCCTAGCACAACCAAGCTCCAAAAGTGTCTAAAAGTCTGAAGAATGCGTTCTGGGTCGAGCTCTCAACTTATATGTATCCTAGCCAACTAATTTCTGATAAATGAAATGCAGCGTTTTTCTGACAGCGGCGAAAGTCGCGAACAAAAGTCATGACTTTGGGACGACTTTGGCAGTTTTACACTATTTTTACAACTAACGAAAATCATTCATTTTGCTCTTGATTTCTTCATCCAAAAGCCTTCCAAAAACATCCACAAATCCCCAGAAATGCTTCTAATTAAAACTTC